CACACACACACAAAAGTAAATAAATGAAAGGCTACATTTCCATTTAAATCTTCCTTTCTTCAGTCTGAGCCAGTTTGTCTCATATCCATAGTCACTTATATATATACATGGACTTGATGTTTTTTCTTAATAAGTTTTAGCAATATAAAAGAACGAATCAATATATATTAATTCTAGAATAACCTATTAAAAATATAGAAAATACCTCATTTGTGTCTTCCAACATTTTAAAAACAAAGAAAAATTCTAAGTGCTATCTTCTAATTAATAATTTTTGCTCAGTTATGAAAATTAAAAACAATTATTTTAAAATAATTTTTGATATTAGATGTTATTTTATAGCTAAAAATAAATTTCGCATTCATTTTAAGTTAACTTTGTAACTTAAAAAGTCGTTAAGAATGAATACATAATTTTATCAGTATCTATTGTTGATGAGTTTTTCTTATTCAAGTAAGCTTCATAAAAGATATTTTATAGAGGGGTACATGAGTGAGACAGAAAAGAAATAATTTTGTAGATGAAAACTAAACAGTCGTTGAACTATTGGAGAATAAAAAACAGTTGTAAATTTTGGTACGTAAGTGTTACATTACATAATGTAAAACAAAGTATGTAATTTGTTATTTTCAATTATGGGTATTTTGGTATATTTAACTAATTTAACGGAAAATTAAAAAAATAAAAAATAAAAAAAAAATTAGCGAAAAAGTTATTTTTTGTTACCGTAATGTAAAATATGGCCCTTGTTTGTGCCTCATTTTTTCAAGAAAATACATTCTTCAACAATGATTTGAGCTCATTTTAACCACTTATTTTTCAATAAAATAATATTATTCATAAACCCAATTTTATTTTTTTTAAATTCTTTTACCACACATTCTCCATCATAACACTATTGCAAAATGTATTTTTTGAAAAAAAAATAATAATAATAATAAAATGGGGCTCAAACAAGCCAATAGTATGTAAAGTAAAAATTTAAAGATCAAAATATGTATAAAGTAAGTATACCCTATGGTATACCAATGGTGTATTTTGTAAATTTCCCAGTTTTTTTTTTACCATTTTCTTTTTGTTCTTTCCACCATTTCGAATGTGATAAATGTTATTTGTTCAGTTATGCTTAGATACAGTGCATTCTCTACATTGTGTTTTCTTGCAGGAAGCACCTGCTGTGATCAAGTCTTACTATGACAAAAGAATTGTGGGATGCCCTGGCGATGAAGGCGGTAAGTACCAATCTGCTATCTGCGGTTTTTCATAGTAAATTAGTAATCAAGTTGTTCTGCTTTGTAATTCGATTTCTTATTTGCCTCTGACCATTTCTTATCCGCTCTTAAAAATTAACAGAAGATGAGCACGATGTTGTTTGGTTCTGGCTAGAGAAAGGCAAGCCACATGAATGTCCAGTATGCTCACAGTACTTTGTGGTAAGTGCTGGATCAAACTTTACTAAATTATCTTCTGGCCATGAAATGACATGAAGCTGATGTGTTAAATATGGGCTGTAATTATTGAATTATTAGTGGTCTGTACCTTGATTGTATCTTATTCGTATAGTGTTCGGGAAATATCTGGTTCATTGCTTTTATGTCGGTACAAATGGTTGTAGGTCAAACTATTTATCATTCTCTCTTTGTTTGCAGTTGGAAGTGGTTGGCCCAGGTGGATCTCCTGATGGACACGGCGATGATGAGGACGATCATCATTAATTATACGCGGCAATTTTCCTACCAGAATAATCTGGTGAGATGATGAGAGAATACCTAGTAAATTCTGTTGCTTCAGGATTCGAAAGCTTTGTGCTCTGCTTGATTTTGATGGATTTGTTGTTCTTATGGTTGCTTCTGCAACAGTTGAATATGTTGGAACTTTCTTGATACTTTTTGGGGTTTTAAACTCCGCCCATTTATCCATTGGAAATATGCACTCTTGTCCTTTTTCAGGCATAACAAAATAATCAATGGGTACATTTAGTTCATTTGTTATTTGACCTTGTGCTCAAATATGAGGATAGCGTGTTTATGTGTTCTAGTTCTTCTTCCATTCCTTGATATAAAACTTGTTTGATAGAAATTTAGTGACATTATGTAACACGGTGGCATAGGAAAATAAGGTAGTTGACATTGGTAATTTTGAATTTGAAGCTGTTAAATACATGACTTTAGAATAAGTTACATTCGTCCAGACTCCAGAATATGATCTGTACCATGTTTATCCAAATCATGTTCTCATGGTATCGTGAAAAGAACTGTGCCTTGCCTTGTGCTTAGATTATGGGGCATGCTAGTTTAAGAGCATGTAGTATGGCGAATTTTTTTCAAAATACTTCGTCTGCTAGTTCAAGTTTTAGAATTATGTGATTTTTTATTCTATTTGACTTGTTTGGTATATTGGACCAAACATATTTTTGTCTCGGTAGTGGTGTTATGTCCTTGTTTAAAGTGAAGAAACTCATTCCACTTTATCAGGCTTCTATCAAGTTCAACATTATTTATCTCGTTTTTCAAGTCTCTAGTACCAAGTTTTCGTTGCCTTTCCACTACTGCTATTTTTGTGCCTATCAGAATTTCCTCAAAACAGTTTAAGATACACTTGTTTAACCGATACATTACCATAACACTTCTGCCAAAGTCTAGCATAGTCGATGCTTGTACATTCGCAAAACGAACCCCAGTTAGTGAGGAGGGCCACCAGAGATGGGTGGTGATTGATTCTAATATGAAGGTGAACCTAGATTTGGCTTGAAACTCGTAGTGAGCTATTACACTTGTTTGAATTGATTCAATGGCATTTGTTTTAAAAAATCCGTTCGTTTTTACTAGTTTATGTTCAATGAATTGATCGATATACCAACAGTAAAGATCTTGAATCAATTCGAGGTAAATTCGCTTTTGCAAGATATAGTCATCAACTAAAGAGCAATGTATGACAACACATCTTAAATACTATTCTTTATTACGTAACAACGAAGAAAACTTCCTCCTCTACATAAACAAGTCCAAAATCTCTCTCTAGATCCATGGGATCGCATAATCAATGCAATCAACAACAACAAAAACGTAATAAAAATTTGACTTTTTCCCCAATTACAATTAGACACGTTGTGGATAACGGATACTAATCAATTTTACATCATCAATCAGCGGACCACATAGGGAACCATCTGTCTTCATGTGATAGAATGTGCTCAAAAACCTAATCCTCGTACGAGGTGACACGGCCACAAACCTCAATTTAATACGTTTGAACCCTCCATTGCCCTTGGATTCATAAGGAAATTGACCAATAATCTTGCCAGCCGATGCCTCAACCACCATAGACCCTTCACACGAGTTCTTAGAATCCCCTATTGAGAAGAATAGGTCATATGTTTTTCTGGGCAAGGTTTTTACAACTTGTGCGAGTGCACTTTCTCTTCCGGCCACAAGTTCGACTGCTCGTTTGCCCTCGGGCACCATGAAATGGTCGGAGTCTATGTACTTTACTGCTTTAAGAGATTCGATCATCCATCCGAGCAGGGGAGAATGGTCATCCTCAATG